CCTGGGGTGCGGCTCTCAGCTGCCGCCCCTTCCCCGCGCCCCCGCCCCGCGGTGCGTCCTCCTGGGAGTCCCTGCGCCCAGCCCCTGGCTTTCATTTCCAGGTGGGACGTGGGTGCCCCCGTTTCTTCTTGTGGCCGCAGCCGGCGCCTTTCTTTAGGGCCTCACCCGAGGATGTTTTTCTCACTGCTTCTCGGAGAGAGACAGACAGAAACACCGACGTAGGAGAGACACATGGAGTGGTTGCCTCCTGCACGCGCCCCCACCGCTGGGGGCCAGGGATTGGGCCTGCAACCCAGGTACATACCTACCTCTGGCTGGAATCGAACCCACGACCCTCCAGTCCACGGGCAGATGCTCTAACGCTGAGCCCAAGGGCTAGGGCCTCCCCCTGCGCTTTGCAGGGAGGCCGCCTGCACTGTTCTCGAGCAACCCCTGGGCCTGGGGGTCCCAGTCTCCAGCTTCCCCGGGGGCAGCTGCATCCCTGCCCTGGTCCCGCCGGGGAGGAGGCCACCCAGACAGACGCACAGACCTCTGCTGGCCCGGCGGCTGTCTCTGCGCGGGCTGGCGCTCAGCAGAGCGGGCACTGCCAGGGGACGGCAGGCAGGCTCCCGGCCGCGGCTGCACCACGCAGCCGGGAGGACCCGCACCTCCCTGGCCTCCGTGACTCTCTGAGGCCAGGACACAGGTGACGCCTGAGGCCCTGTCCCTCCTGAGGCCCTGTGGCTCCAGCCCTCGCGCCTGCTGGTTCCGCTCTGCAAACTTGGGGAGTGACTGTTACACCCGCCCGAGGTGCTGCGACCCCCCAGGGGAATGTGCGTGTCTCCTGGAGTGGTGACCTTTCATTTTTTTAAATTTATTTTATTTTTTAAAATATGTTTTTATTGATTTCAGAGACAGGAAGGGAGAGGAAGAGGGAGAGACACCGATGATGAGAGAGACATAGATCGGCCGCCTCCTGCAGGCCCCCTGCTGGGGATCGAGCCTGAAACCCGGGCCTGTGCCCCGAGCGGGAATCGAACCGCGACCTCCTGGTTCATAGGTCGATGCTCAACCGCTGGGCCATCCCGCGGGGCAGTGGCGACCTTGTCATTGACCTTTCTTCTTGTCACCTGGGAGGCAGCGATCACACCCCTGCCCTTCTTTTACTTCCCGTGTCTTCCTGACCCCACGCTGGTGCTCAGAGCAGGTGCCGACACCAGGACGTGGCTCAGGGGACACCATCACGCAGGAAGGCCACAGGGCTGGCTGGGGACACGGAGCCACGTGTGGTCCAGCACACCGGGCGGTCGGGCCCACCACGGGCTGCTGCCTGCGGATGCGGACTTCCTCTCTCTGGACGGTCCTCCACCGGCACTGA